CAACCTAATAGCGATGGCCTCCACCCCAGTAGCAATGGCCTCCACCCTGGTAGCAATGGCCTCCACTCAGTAGCAATGGCCTCCACCCTAGTATGGATGGCCTCCATCCTAGTAGCGATGGCCTCCAACCGACTAGTGCTTCACTCTGCTTTTCTCTGCCCTTTATGGGGAGATCTCACCTGGAGATCCATCTGGGCTTCACCGACCATTGCATGTCTTTTGCCCTCTCAAAGGGCTTTGACCACTGCTTTCAGTTTTGAAAAAAGACTGCAAACAAATTTATCCATTTCCTGCCCCCACGAAAAAGGCTTGTTCAACTTGTTCCTCTAAATGTCTAAATGTTCCACCTCCCAAATGAAAGGTGTTGATTGATGGTGTTGTGGTAGCAACCTGAACTCCTTCCACCTCCCGCAACGCCTCCAAGTGCGACCTGGGCAACCAAATCATAGAGCTGGAACCAGGATAAAGACAACTTGAGCTGAAAAGCAGCCTACCCTGGATGTTGATTATCTAACTCAGATCAATGGTTGTATAGATAGAACTTCTTTGCCGCTCTCCAATTTTCTGGCGTTTAACAAACACAAGGTGCTGTCATATTGTGTTGAAAAGAAACTTGGCAAGTCCAAGTTGCGGATCGTCAACGTTCCAGCCTCCAGCGAGTTGGTTGAGTCACTCAGGCGACAAGAGTCGTTCTATCAGAGGAAAGAAGCAGCATCCACTGTGGTTGTGGCACGGAACCCGCCAAAACCTGTAGACTTTGTAGACTCTTCAAGAGATCCAACTTCATGCCGTCGTGAAAACATGTGAAAACACTCATTCTACAATGTATCGCCAGGAAAAAAAGGCGGGAACGTTCACACGCTCCGGCCTCCACGTGTTCGATCGGAGACCCTTTTTGTGTTTGTTCCCGCCTGACGAGTCTCCATCTCGCATGCTCCGCACCAGCCTCGGGGTGACATGTGTTGAGCACGGGGATCCCATCGCCATTGACCGATCCTTTACGTTCCCGGTCGCACCGAATTCGCTTGGCTCACACAAATTCGATGTCCGCTTTACAAAGCCGACCCTCGGGTCTCGGTTCGGAAACGAAAACTAAGCCAGCCACATGTGCTCAATGCTTTGAAGGTACATGTCCTGCTCCTGCAACAGAGCTGCACGCAGATGCACAGGCACAAAATGACATGCAAGATGGTGTGCTTCATTGCACAGCAAGAGTCCACCAATCATCAGCTTTCTTCCATGCCAAATGTGTCCTTGAACTTCTTCTCCATTACACCTTGTGAGGTTGAAAGAGTTGATCCGTGCCACAAAAAGGCAAAAGAGTTCGTCCTATGCATGTCGACAATTGGAAAAACAAGTAGGAATGCTCATGCTTGACATACAATCGCAAACCACCGCATTGTTGTTCATCAAGACCCCAGTGTCCTGTTATTTATATCCAGTATTAACCTGGAAGCCACCAGACCAAATGTTTTGGTTGACAATAACACCAAAAACCGTTGGTTTCTTGACACGGCAGGTCGCTGTTGAACAAAGACAAGGTGGCAAGGTGTCTTCAAACACCTTAGGACCAGGCCGCTCCATCTTAAACACCTTCGAACATCCAGTTCTTTCCAAGGCGCTTGAGATCATTTGAATTTCGAAGCTCACCGACTGAAGATCAATACTGGTGGCCACGCCCTTCATTCGCACGCATGCACTCCTGGGAGGAGAAAGGTCCGATTCGCTGCGGCTGCCCGGCCCAGTGGTGTGCACACACTCTGCTTGCTTGAGCCCCAGAGTGGGGTGCGTGTGAGCAGCTGTAGCCCTTAAGAGCTGATTGCCCCGGTGCCCCCCATGCCTGGTAGTGTGCTTGTAGCTATCCCGCTTGGGTGGTGTGTGGGCATAGACAAATGTTTCGTAGAAACAAGTATACGAAGATATACTATATTATAAGTATCCCAAAAAAGTTTGCTATCAGAAAGACTGGCTCAACGTCACGCCAAGCGTCACAAGTGTCTGGAGGTTCACATCACCTTCATTCACTGCGCTGAGCATCTTGAAGAAGATTTCAACCTCACTGATCATCAGATGGATGCAGTAACAAGTGCATCGCTACTAGTAACAAGAAGCTACTAGCAACAAGGTTTATCACTACTAGTAACAAGAAGCTACTAGCAACAAGGTGCATCGCTACTAGTAACAAGAAGCTACTAGCAACAAGGGTGCATTACTACTACCGATTCAACTGATGCAGTTGAGACTGATGCAGTTTGGACCTGTCAAAAGTGTGAAAGCAACCCAACCTGATTCATCTTAGCGCAGGACCATCCAGAACCCAGGCCAGATCAATGAATCTTTCAGGTCGCACTACCCCATTGACTGAAAAATCTTTGCAATGGACGATCCATCATCTACAGTGGCTTCCTGGACAAGTACCATTCTTGAGAAGTGAAGAGCTTCTTGTTTTGGAGGACCAACTGTACACTTCGGCAAACTACAATGCTATCATGGACCAAAAACAAACAAAGATGTCCGCCGGGTCACAACCGTCTAACCTCTGTCCGCCGGGTCTATCCCTCCCAACTTGGGGGTGTAGCTGTGGCCGTGCAGTCCAAGTGACATTCTTGATATCAACACCGCGAACAGTCAGATCCTGTCGGAACCTGGCAACACGATAAACGTCCGTCCGGTCAATGGAGCCCAGTAGACTCAGACTGATTTTAGAAGACTCAGACTTCACTGATTCTGCCGGGTTGTTTTGACGCACACCCTATTTGCTTTGTCAAGGAGAACAAGGAGAAAACAAGAAAGTAGAAAGGTCGGTCTTGGGTTCCCTTCCCCTTCTTTGCATTTCAGATACACAAAGAGACACAGAATTAATGATGAAGAATGAAGCGGGTCACAGAAAAACTGTTCCAGTAGATGCACCTGGATAACCGGATCACTGACTAAGGCAATTAGTCATCACTTGCACTAATTGGGACACCAGGACACAACTGGGACACAACCGGGACACCCAACAGAAAGGGACTGGGACAACACGACCTGGACTGGACACCATCACAACGTCAGCAGTACACCATTTGATTATGAGTCCAAGCTGCATCCTGTTCTCAGCTTGCTTGACAGGTGGCAGAAACGAGATGCAAAGTTCATTGACAAGGGAGCGGTTCAAACATCACCAGCCATTCAAGACAGAGAAGTGAGAACTCAGGCAGCTAATTACTGAAAGTAGGCACTCTTTTCTGCATCTAATGAGGTTGGAGGCCATCGCTTCTAGGTTGGAGGCCATTGCTATTCAGTTCCTGTTGCCGGCCATCGCCGTTGCTGTCGAAGTGCGACAAACACCATCAAAACACGATGATAAAATGGTCCTATGGACCCGTGCGCGTTCGACCGCAATGCGAGACTGACCTACTTGCGGAGAAAAACGATCCAAAGAGCCATTTCCCGTTTCTTTCCCCTCATTTTGATGAGGAAAGTATGAAATGAAACAGGAACCCAGAATTCCGACTGCGGCTTCCGGCGGATGGCCGAACCTTGGCAGCTCTGCTGCTGCACGGATTTGATCCAGCGAGATCACATCCTCTCCTTCAGCCTCGACAAGTATGGAGAGACTTAGAGATGGGAAGAAAGCAATAAACATCAACAATCTGGGAAGGGTTGATTGGCTTGCATTGGCTGGGATTTTGTTGGGTTGCGTTTTGGATGATCTTTGAACGAAACTGCGTCTGGTCTGCCTATCACAGATTCATTGCACTGATTGTCAGCTGCATGAGGAGCCAAAGGTGCACTTAGTTTGCTTGCAGGAAACAATTGGGCCTCCCCAAGTTCCTAACATTGCAAAATGCTGGGCAAAGGCTTGGTAGGTGCTTGCAACATGCGGAACTGGGGTAGTGTAACAGAGTGTAAGGTCAAAGGAAAAAGAAACATGAGTTGAGGGTGTGAGACCCAATGGGGAGGGGGCACCCGTCAACCAAAGGGGTTGTGCATGGTATTTCGATGCTGTCCAGCCGCGTTCTTGGAGGTGAAGGGGAGGAACAGACGCGAGAGGTCTCCTGCATCTTTGGCATCCTTGATGTTCCTTGAAGCCGTCGCGGAGAAACACAGAAATACAGAGTCAGAAGTACACCCAAATCTGGAGTTCATCTATGACCACGATTTGCAAGGCAAAACCACAAGTCCCACTGGTGTATCTGGTCATTCAATTAATCAAAAGAGTCCTTCCTGCAGTGTTGAAGGAACTAGTTCCTTTCCACAAGAGGTGACTCGCTACTCTACACACAGCAACCCAACACAAAAGCGCATCTAGTTATTTCCCCTGTTTATCTCAGACACGAAACCTCAAAATCATCTTTCTGTGCTAAAGTCAGATGGAGATTTCAAGTCAGCCAAATCAGGTTCAAACTCGCTTTTCCTGGACCGCCGCCGAAACCGATACTCCAAGGGTCTTTTCATGAATCATCGACTCCAAATCGGGCTGAGCCAGCTTCATGGCCTGGCAGCGGAGCGCGGTGGCTTGCGCTTTCATGGCCCCTTTGCACATCGCAGCCCCCCACCCAATGCAATGCCGCAATGGAAATGGACCCAACCACAATGCTCACCAACCTGCAAAACTGGGATATGGGGTGCTTGGTCTTGCACTAGACCCAATATATCAGGCGATGTCCAAGTGGAGCTCTTGACACCCCTGCCTTTTCCACAAAGGTGCTTGTGACAATGTTCCACACCGAAATGGTGAAAATGATCACCTTACGAACGCATGTGCCACTTGGCCAAGAAGAGACGAACAAGCTACTAGTAACAAGTGCCTTACTACTAGTAACAAGTGCCTTACTAGTAGTAACAAGTGCCTTACTAGTAGGAACAAGAAGCTACTAGTAACAAGTGCCTCGCCGCTGGTAACAAGTGCCTTACTAGTAGTAACAAGAAGCTACTAGTAACAAGTGCCTCGCTACTAGTAACAAGTGCCTTACTAGTAGTAACAAGAAGCTACTAGTAACAAGTGCCTCGCTACTAGTAACAAGTGCCTTACTAGTAGTAACAAGAAGCTACTAGTAACAAGTGCCTCGCTACTAGTAACAAGTGCCTTACTAGTAGTAACAAGTGCCTTACTAGTAGGAACAAGAAGCTACTAGTAACAAGTGCCTCGCCGCTGGTAACAAGTGCCTTACTAGTAGTAACAAGAAGCTACTAGTAACAAGTGCCTCGCTACTAGTAACAAGTGCCTTAC